TTCTAACTCTCTATCCCTCTCCCTTCCTCTCTGTTAAATATCAATAAAATATATTTTAAAAAAAGAAAAGAAGAGAAAAGTTATTTGAAGAAATAATGACAGAAAACTTCCCCTACTTGGTGAAAGAAATAGACTTCCAAGTCCAGGAAGCGCAGAGAACCCCAAACAAAAGGAATCCAAAGAGGACCACACCAAGACACATCATAATTAAAATGCCAAGAGCAAAAGACAAAGAGAGAATCTTAAAAGCAGCAAGAGAAAAAAAGTCAGTTACCTATAAGGGAGTACCCATACGACTGTCAGCTGATTTCTCAACAGAAACTTTGCAGGCCAGAAGGGAGTGGCAAGAAATATTCAAAGTGATGAATAGCAAGAACCTACAACCAAGATTACTTTATCCAGCAAAGCTATCATTCAGAATTGAAGGTCAGATAAAGAGCTTCACAGATAAGGAAAAGCTAAAGGAGTTCATCACCACCAAACCAGTATTATATGAAATGCTGAAAGGTATCCTTTAAGAAGAGGAAGAAGAAGAAAAAGGTAAAGATACAAATTATGAACAACAAATACACATCTATCAACAAGTGAATCTAAAAATCAAGTGAATAAATAATCTGATGAACAGAATAAACTGGTGATTATAATAGAATCAGGGGCATAGAAAGGGAGTGGACTGACTATTCTTGGGGGGGAAAGGGGTGTGGGGGATGCGGGAAGAGACTGGACAAAAATCGTGCACCTATGGATGAGGACAGTGGTGGGGGGGGGTAAGGGCAGAGGGTGGTTTGGGAACCGGGTAGAGGGGAGCTATGGGGGGAAGAAAGAGGAACAACTGTAATAATATGAATAAAAATTTATTTTAAAAAATCAATGGATGTGTTTTTAAAGGAAACGTACTCAATATAATAGATTCCCCAGTCCAATTCAAAATCTATATGAAACAGTTCACTCCCCTAAATTCTTATCCCAGTAAGTTTGAGAAGACACATTTGCCCAAGCTAAATACCATAGAATCATTTTACATTCCATCTTCTTTCTTGTCTCATATCCTATCATTTCACACAATCTGTTGAGCTTCTAAAATTTTCTCCAAATCTGTTTCTTCCACCTCATTCATTCACCACTATCATTACTCAGCCTTTTGTCATCTCTTACGTGAACCATTTCAATAGTATCATAATTAGTTTCCCTATCCTATTTCTCTACTCTCAGCACTCTAGAATGTTCTCTTTTGCTTTCCATAATTCTCTTTGTAAAATACTTATTGATCATGTAATTTTCCTGATTAGAAACCAAGTGAAGGATGCTTTCCTGTTACCTACTGGATAAATTTCAGGCTCAGAGTGACAGTGAAAGCACATGGCATGCAGACCCCTACCCATCTCCCGGAACTTCGTCCTGCTCCTTTCTCCCCAGGCAGCCTCCACTCCTTGGCTCCAGAACCACAAAAGTGTTTCACAGGACTAGAACATACGTTGGTATTTTATCCCTCTGCGCCATGGCATTCCTTCTGCCTGGAATATTCTTTCCCACTTTCTCCACCTGGTGAGTTATTACAAACACTCCTCAGTGCTCAGTTCAAATGATACTTCACCTGTGGCGCTTCCTTACCTACTCTGGGAAAACCTTGTTTCTCAATACTCATGCCCATTATAATTTGGGGAAAAAAAACACAAAAAAACCTTTAGTCTAAAATTGACATCCCTTATAACACTGATTTTTCTCTCTGCCCAATTTGATCTTTTATGCCTGAAAGACCAAAATCCTGACCTACTTATCTCTATACTGACATCAGCTGACATTGGAGATGAAGGAATATATAACTGCAGCCAAGATTCCCAGAAAGTTCAACTAGGGACTCCTTCATAGAGTTATATGGAACTACCAACATGTTAGCCCTCCCCCATAAAAAGAAGTAAATATCAGGTAAAGAAAAATAGTTTCTTAATTCAGGACTTGTCAAAACCTTAACTTGCTAATCGTTAAGAAGGTGACAAAGTACATAGCGATTTCCAAACAAATGTGACCTCAGAACATATTTTTGAAAAATATATTCTTGGACCAGTGTTACAGCACTTACTTATAGAAACACTAACCTAGACCAACCCTCACTCTTTATACATGAGAAAGGAAGCTCAGAGGGATTGAGTAGCCCAAGTTCACAACACTGGTTATTGTCAGAGCGCTTTCCAGAAAGGAGGCCTCATGGTGATCAGATCAGTGGCCTTGCATCAACTATTTCTTGAGTTAAGTTCTAAGATTGTGAGTCAGTTATCAACTTGTCTTGAGAAATTGTCTTAACAGATATTTAACAGTAGAAGGTTATAGTAGGGAGGGATTGGAGAGTGTTAATAATAAATCTTAGACCCAGGGAAAGACCAGGCCAGGAAGGAGAGGCAATGGAGAGTGGGATATCACAAGAAATAACTACTGAAGGAAGGAGCAGAAGGAGAGTTTCAATAAATTTAGATAAAGTTTTCTTAATGCTTCCATCATGTCAATTACTATCACTCATAGGGAATGCACTAGGAAAAGCAGGATGAAGATTCAAGTCTGATTAATCATGAAAACTCTATAAGAGGCAGTCTTATTAAACTGGGTTTTGATAGCAGTATGGGAACCCTGACAGGAAAAAGAGAGAGAGAGACTCCTTGTGCTCAGAGTAAAGAGCATGAATAGAACCATCAGATACCCTATGCAAACTGGCATTTTCTCTAAGTCACAAGCAAATCAGGCTTATCTTTGAGACTTGAACTAGAAAGCAGGCATATATAGTGGTTTACATTTTCATCATGACATCATGTTTCCTTCTACTAGATACACCCAATAATTCATTCAACAAATGTACTGAATGCCTACTATACTCAAGGCACTATATACTAGGTGCTGGAGATATAGCAGTTTAAAAAACAAGACAAAAATATTTGCCCCATGGGGGATTTTGTGATCTATGTACACAAATATATTGGGTAACTAGATTTCAGAAACAAAAATATAACAATGAAGCTTTTGTTCCCAAAATCTAGTTACCCAATATATTTGTCTGTGGAGTAGGTACTGAAAAAAATCATGTGTTTTAGAGAAAATATTATTTTATGTACTGGAGGCCTGGTACATGAATTCATGGGGGGAGGGGCTGCATGAGGTTGGCTGGCTGGCCTTGCCCCCGATCTGGCTGGTTGGTCAGCCGGAGTGCATGTCATACTGACTGGTTGTTCCAGTCATTCCGGTCATTCTGGTCACTTGGCTTTTATCCTATACCAGAGGCCTGATGCATGAAATTCATGCCCAGGGGAGGGTCCCTCAGCCTACCTGCACCCTCTTGCAATCCGGGACCAATCCGGGACCCCTCAGGAGATGGCCGACTGCTAGTTAGGGAGGGTCCCTCAGCCTACCTGCACCCTCTCGCAATCCGGGACCCCTCAGGAGATGGCCGACTGCTAGTTTAGGCCCGATCCCTGTGGGACATCCCTCTCACAATTCAGGACTGCTGGTTTCTAACTGCTTGCCTGCCTGCCTGCCTGATCGCCCCTAACCACTCTGCCTGCCTGCCTGATCGCCCCTAACTGCCTCTGCCTCGGCCCCTGCACCAGGGACCCAGGCTTCTCTCCTCCGGCTATCCGCAAGCACCCAGGACCCGGCCGGCTTCACCCAGGCTGGCTGCAGGCACCCAGGACCTCGGGCGGCTTCGCCTAGGCCCCAGCTTTGTCAGGAGGGACATCTAGAATGATGTCTGGAAGACGTCCAGTCTATCCAGTCTAATCAGCATAATACCCTTTTATTAGTATCCTTATATAACAAAAGGCTAATATGCAAATTGTCCCCTCTACCGGGAGTTCAACCAGGGGGTAGGGCCGGCCAGCCAACCTCCCCCGTCCCCACCCCCCTACCGGCCCAGCCCGATCAGCTGCAATTGGGGCAGGCCGGCTGGACCCCACCTGTGCACAAATTCATGCACCAGGCCTCTAGTAGATAATAAAAGGTCAGCTACCGAAAGGGTGGAATGACCAGAATGACCAGAGACCAGAACACCATGGCCCCTCGCCCAGGCTGGCCCTGCCCCCCAGGGAGTGGTTAGGGGCGCTACTAGGCAACACAATAAGGTACGAGTTTGATGGGGGAAAGTTGAAGAAATAGCAGGGCTGGTCTTAAAGGTCTGCAGGGTTGGGGTGGTCGGCCCGGAGTAGGTTTGGAGTGTGCTGGGGAAGGAAGAAGAAGATCCAATTGGAAAATGGCTCAGCACGGCACCTTTCTCATTGCAAACAGGGACAGCGCCAGCCATAGACTGAATGGGTGGTGGTTTCATGAGTGTGTGGCAGTACTCCCAAAACTTCACTGATTCCAAATAGTAAACAGCTATCAACGTCAAAGAACAGAAAAATCCTCTCCAACTAGAGACCTTGGATGTTGCAACACGACTGAAGGAAACACCATTTAAGGAGGAACTAGAAAAACTGGAAGTATGTGACCAGAGGATTGTGGGATTGTGGAGGACGCCTGGACGCCTACCGCTAGAACGTGAGCCTGTTATTGCGCATGTAGATAGTCAGCACTATATTCCTCAGTCTCCCAGTGTTTGGACATAACTTCTGGCGGGAAATTATTTCGATTGAGGTTTGCAGTTTCCTTGTGGTGAGGAAGATCAGAATTAAAGGTTTCATTTGTTACCTTGGTTTGAAGTGAAGTGGAGGAAAATGAGATAGTGATGAATAAGAAACTTTGGAGATAGTGAAGGGCAGTTGTCCAGGCTGTTGAGAGCTCAGAATTAAAGTTTAATTGGGATAGAAATCCTGCTAATAGCACCTGATGCCTGAAATCTGAGCACTCTACTTTTAGGTTTTCCAGTTCAAATTTTTGGAGACTGCCTATTAAAACATTCCTGGTAGGAAAGTGCAGAACACCATGGCCCCTCACCCAGGCTGGCCCTACCCCCCAGGGAGTGGTTAGGGGCAATCAGGCAGGCAGGCAAGTGGTTAGGGGTGATCAGGCAGGCAGGCAGAAGTGTTAGGGGAAATCAGGCAGGCAGGCAGAAGCGTTAGGGGTGATCAGGCAGGCAGGCAGAGTGGTTAGGGGTGATCAGGCAGGCAGGCAGAGGCAGTTAGGGGCAATCAGGAAGGCAGGCAAGTGGTTAGGGGTGATCAGGCAGTCAGGCAAGTGGGTAGGGGTGATAAGGCAGGCAGACAAGCAGTTAGGAGCCAGTGGTCCTGGATTGTGAGAGGGATGTCTAACTGCTGGTTTAGGCCCAATCCGCAGGGCCTAAACCGGCAGTCGGACATTCCCCGAAAGGTCCCGCATTGCGAGAGGGTGCAGGCTGGGCTGAGAGACCACACACACACACACACACACACACACACACACACACGCGCGCGCACGAATTTCGTGCACCGGGCCTCTAGTATATACATATGATGATGAAAGAAAGCGTGTTGCCACTTGGATGTCAGACAAAGTTATTCACATTTGAAATTGCAAATATCCACATTTTTCTGTGAGGTACTATATGACAACAGGGTCTTGGGAGAGATATGGTCAAAGAAATGTGAAGTCAGAGCCTGCCACAGCAAGGTTAAAGGGTATGATACAAAAGTTTCACACTTTCATTCCTCCCAAATATTGTCCATGTGTGTGTTCGAGGAAGAGATAAGATGGAAAACCATTCTTTCTACTCATTTGATCATTTGGAAATGTTGTAAAACCAGAAAGGGTTTTATGATTCAGATGAGAGGCTTCAGCCTTTAGGATCTGATCCACAATACTTCTATAGCTCTACCATGGTAATTTTCCATTTGAATTGAAACTCAATTTGAGAAGGTGAGAGGGATGGAAGGACAGGGTGAGAGAGAGAATGAAGACACAGAACAACACAGAGAGGCTCCTTGCTTGTGACAGCCATGGGGGCTACCACACTTATCCAATGTTTGCCAAATCACTACCAAATCCCTCCAAGAGGAAGTTTTTATTTATAGACTAGAGGCCCAGTGCACAAATTTGTGTATCAGTGGAGTTCCTCGACCTGGCCTGCGGAATCGAGCCAAAACCGGCTCTCCAACATCCCCTGAGAAGTCCTGGATTTCAAGAGGTGCACAATCAGGGCTGGGGAGGGGCACAGGAGCTTGGCCAGCCAGGGAGGGACTGCGGGAGGGCACCAGGGCATGTTGGGCCCATCTTGCTCAGTCCCTATTGGCGGACCCCAGCAGTAAGCTAACCTACTAGTAGGAGTGTCTGCTCCCTGGTGGTCAATGCACAATGCACATCATAGCGAGCTTTTGAGCAGCCTTAGCAGATTATTAGCATATTATGCTTTGATTGGTTGAATGGACTTTTATTATATAGGACTAGAGGCCCAGTGCACAAAAATATGTGCACTCCGAGGGGGTCCCTCAGCCCGACCTGTGCCTTCTTGCAGTCTGGGACCCCTCGGGGGATGACCACCTGCAGTCGGACATCCTTACTGCTGCTGAGGAGGCGGGAGAGGCTCCCACCACCACCACTGTACTGGTAGCCGTCAGCCTGGCTTGTGGCTGAGCAGAGCTCCCCCTGTGGGAGCACACTGACTACCAGGGGCCGCTCCTGCATTGAGCATCTGCCCCCTGGTGGTCAGTGTGTTTCATAGTGACCAGTCATTCCCAGTCTTTCTGTTGTTAGGGTCAATTTGCATAGTACCCTTTTATTATATAGGAGTGCCTGGCCAGCCTGGGTGAGCGGCTGATGGCTGTTCGCAGGCTGGCCACAGCCCCTTCAGGGTGGGGGTCCCTGCTGGGGTGCCTGGCCAGCCTGGGTGAGCGGCTGATGGCTGTTCGCAGGCTGGCCACAGCCCCTTCAGGGGGGGAATCCCCACTGGGGTGCCTGGCCATCCTGGGTGAGGGGCCGAGGGCAGTTTGCAGTCTGGCCACAGCCCCTTTGAGGTGGGGGGGGTCCTGCTGGGGTGCCTGGCCAGTCTGGGTGAGGGGCTGAGGGCCATTTTCAGGCTGGCCAAGACCCCCAGCAGGGACCCTCACCCTATGAGGGCGTGGCCAGCCTGGGTGAGGGGCTGATGGCTGTTTGCAGGCTGGCCACAATCCCCAGCCACCCAAGCTCCCAGTGGAGGCTGGCTGGAAGCAGGTATCTGGGATTTATTTGTCTTCTATAATTGAAACTTTGTTGCCATGAGTGGAGGCCACAGACAGCTCAGGGCAGGCGGGAAACTTGGCTTCCTCATCGCCCGAGCAACCAAGCCTCCTACTTGCTCCAGCTCCGAGGCTCCTGCCTGCCATCTTGGTTGGGTTAATTTGCATATAGTCGCTCTGATTGGCTGGTGAGTGTGGCTTAGGGCATAGCAAAGGTATGGTCAATTAGCATCTTTGTCTTTTATTAGTGTAGATTGCTGTCACTCTATACTTATACAGGGTTTTTTATGGTATTGTGAATATTCCATTCATTGTCTCAAAGGCTGGTGGCAGTAGCAAGAAAAGTGATGTTGAAGTTTCTCTTCCTTATGACTGTTCTTACGTGTGGTTATGTAAGTGCATGAGGTCATGTGAAGAAAAAGATCTGGTACTCCTGAGCATTTCTCATTTTGAAAAATCATTTTTCTTACTTTTGGAAAATTGAGGTTGCTCACTTACAGTTTTTATGACCCTTTTTACAGGGACAGAGCCTTGGCTCTTGTCCTTTAGTTCAATTCCAGCATCCCTGAGACCAACATTCTTCTTATGCTTTATTTGAACACATAGTCTACCCTTCCTACCCTTTTTGCTTATGGAACCTGGCTCATAAAAACCTTCTGCATATTCCCACTGGGAGGGGAAGCATCTGGTATGAAAATGATCCCTCTCCTTCTTTAGGATATTTTGAAAAAATAATATCTACTTGTAGTATTAATTCCAGCTCAAAAAAACGTGTGGCTTGGAATAGTCATGAAGTAGCAATACAGTGTCTATGAAGAATGGACTTCCAATAGTCTTCCTCTTTTATAGATATGTTTATTCTGAAATGTTCATCATTTGCACCTGGACATAAAGTTACTAATCATATAGGTCACATAAGGAAAAAGTATGAAAGTGTGTATGAGAAAAAAATGTAGACTTTAGATCACCCAAATCTATTGTTAAGAGTTTATAAGTAAAGACAGGCAAACGGTACAATGATTTCAAATGCAGTTTCTAGCCCTGATGGATTAAACATGCCCGTGAATTCTTATTAGGCTTCACTGCAGTATTCATAGCCCTTTCATACTTGTAGCAGTTGCAGAAAGATGAGAAAGAGGCCAGCTTCTGGGTCAGGTCCTTGGCTCAGCAGCCCCTGAAAGTAAGCTTTGCCAGCCTTTCCTAAAGTGATCTGCTTCTTAGGACTGGTTCACCTTAAGTGATCTCACAGAAGCCAGACTGTCAATTTCTTCGTTTATCATGAGAAATGCACCCATCAAGCCTTCCAGCATAAGTCAGTGGCCAATCAGAAAATCTTCTCTTTCCCTGTAAGAAAGCAGCACAGAAGTCAGAGCATACACAGATGGTTTCTTGGAGGAGAAATTCAGTCGAAGAGTCAGTGAATGCATTGCCAAGATTTGATATGCTGATGAGTCTAGAACCACACCAGGGATCCGAAAGCCAAACCCTCCAAACAGCACTTTCGGTAGGGACAGCATCCCCACCCTCCACCCCCAAAATATCCCTGAGATGCCACCAAATTCTTTCTCCTGCTGGTTACCTTTCCTGAACTCTGCCCAGTCCATGTCTCCTCTGTGCTCACAGCCTCTCCCCGGACAAGGGGACATGAAAATTGACTAGACATCCATTTACCAGACTGTAATTACAATTCAGTCCTGCTCCAAGATCGCATTTTAATTGCACTTCAGATATTTTTTAATTTCTTTACGTAAACATGACTGCTCTCTTGGTCCATTCCTATAGATTTTACTAGCTGATTTCTCAGAGGTCAATTTTATTTTCCTTTTCTCTAAATTGGGATGTGTGGCCATGTCCAGACTACAATACTTACCAGGAAAATAAAGAATACAAAACAGAGCTTTGTAATCACCAGCCCAGGATCACTGGATTCTCCATTTTTGTGCTGAATATTTGCCTGGTTGTTTGCTTTTTGAGTTTGAAGTTTAAATGCCAACCTGCTTTTCTGTGAGTTCTCTCTGAATCAGCCCTTTGTTTGGTCAGTTCACAAGGTACACATGAGCTGCCAGGCATGGTTAGGCTCTGAGGTAACAGTAGTTAAGAGGCAGGGAAGTGACTGAAGGCCACCAACACAGAATTTTTTTAAAAAAAGAAGAAGAAATGGAATAGGGTGGGGATGCTAATACTCTTATCAGACACCAACTGCTTAAACTGAAGGAGTCAACAAAGTGTTACAATGAATTTAACACAGGCTTACCCTATGACTGGTCCGGAATAAACATGGACATTTTACTCATAATGTTAATTAGGATCTCACAAGTGACTGATTCTAAATTAGAAAGGTTTATTCATCCTCACACAGTGGGAATGTATTGCATGGCTATTCTGGTTCCCAGGGGGAAATAAAATAACAGGAAGTCACTGTAAAAGG